ACTAAAATCGTCGAAATCGACTGATCGGTGATAAGGTCATACACAAAAACAAATGAGTTTGAATGTACAGATAACTGCAAACGCGCATAAAATAAATTCCGCCGCTGCCAATAAGCTCGTTTTTTGGGAGAATTCTTAGTGAAATCGCCATCAAAATTCGTGTTTTTTTGGTCCAAGTTAATTTGATTATGTAATTGTACGCGGAGTAAATGCTTCATAATTTATTTAAAATTTATTCAAATCATACTATTCAGAAAATAACCTCTGCCTCATTTTTAGTCGTAAGTGTTGGAAATTCCTCAAAAAACCTTGCCAAGTATCCACGTATTATCTAAACAGCAAAAAATAAATATTCCCAAACCATGAATGATGAATGTTACATGACTGCCCAAACTTACTAATTTACAATTTCCTCTTAGCCCGATTCTCTGCTCGCTTGGAAATATAAAGATTTATCATGATGCCACTGCGCGTGAGATAAATACTTTATCATACTGCGGAGAAGTTATTGTACGATCGTTCGTCAGTCAAGGCAGACGATATTCGGCACGTTCTTTTCTTAAAATTGGCAGCGGGGAAACCTGCCTTGGGACAACATCGTGAATTTATTATTCCTGGTGAGCTAAAATTTTGCATCTTGTTATAAAGTTTCGCTTTGAGATATGCAGTGTCAAGCATAATAACAGACGCAACAGATGAGCAAAAACATCAAAAACTGTATTTCACGCCTTTGACTCCCGCCCATTATAATGTTCGAATAGAATGCAGCAAATTGCTGGCATGTAAGCGCGCATTCTCATCGTTCTCGTTCGGTTCATTTGGTGAAAGCATTATTGATAGCAAGCCAGGAAACGTCCAGTTTTCGGTGAATCATTAAATAATAGAGCAAGATGGTGTTGGAGACGATGTATGACTTTATTTCTTACTGCAAATGCCGGAAAAATGCATTTAAAAAAATGTTGTCTTTTCAATTATTCCGTGAAATTGGTGTAAATGTTTGATTTTGTTACCACTTTAACTTCTGTTCGTGCATGATTTCACCCCAAAGTATCATGAATATAGGGCGTTTTGCCAAAAAGCGGTTTATAAACAAATATCTAGCGCAACAGCTACTGCATGCGTCCAAACGCTCGTTCGAATCAGGTTCGAAGATGCGTGTGCTAATTCCTTGGACCGCTTGTAGGTTTGAATCTGCTTTTGTCAAATTTTTATACTTCGGAATACTAATTTGGATGGGTGAGTATGAAGTATATAAAGTTTTACAAATTTAAATTCGAAGTGTGTGGAATCACGACGATATTTATTTTAGCCAACGACTCGTTATTTTCAACAGGTATTTTATATCCATAAAAACTATAGTCGTAATTTCTGCAGGCACTAGTGGGCCGGATCCGACCCGCAATAAGTATAAGTTTATTTCGACTCCATAATCAGCAATAGACGATAAAATAATTGATAAAAACAAAATAAATAAATAAAACTGATTATAGATTCGGGAAAGCAAACGAAACCTCAAGTAAGGGTCAAAGCGTACAGATTTGAGGTGGGTAGGTATTGATAAAAGAAGTAGGCTAGTACGTGTTCGCTTACCCAAAAGTATTGAAACTAATTAACACACAATCATCGAGACTGAGACATGATAAGGTCGAGAGTGAAAAAAGCGAGAAAATAAAATTAATTACTCAGTAAAAAGAAAAATATACAAAAAAAGTTGAAAAAAAAAAAATAAATTCTTTTGCCACACCAAATGAATAATTTTATAAGGATTGCCGAATTGGATACAGAATTATTCAACAAGAGTTATATACTGTGAATGGAAAAAGATTCCTCAAAAGATATCGCCAAGCTGATTATAATTGGAGTCACCTAATGCCAAATTGCCTAATCAGAATTGCCAAGTGGGATACATGAAGAGGTGGGCTAGACCTGCTTCACTCACCCGATAGAAGCCAAAACTAGCCAAATTAACGACAAATTATTTTAAATACCATTACTCAATAAAATTACCGGTAATTATAATTAAAATTAATTAAGGCGGTATGATACAGAGGTAGGAAAATTGGTTACGGGAATATATAGGTTATTAAAGGTTCAAGTAAGGTTTCTAAAGTCACTGATTATAGGCAAGCAAATTTAATTGAGGTTGTTGATCACTGCGGTCAGTTCAAATTCATCACGGATGATTCATCAGTCTGCAAGTTTTGTTGGTGTATACTCGTACACCTTTTATGTTGAATTAGCTATAGCTTTTAAATTGATCATCATGACGTCGAAAAAACGAAAAATATATCTGCGAGTACAATATTCAATGATTGCAAATAAGGAATCAATAGAAAACTACCCTACACCTTTTAGAGGAAGTTGTTGATTTATGTAAATATTGATCAATATTAATTAGCTATCATTAAATTGCTAGTTGAAAGACCTGAGAAAGAGGAAATTGTGGTTGGGACACAGGAGAAATTGTTCACAAACCATGCAAAACACCTTTCGATGTCGGTCAACCCCTGCTCTACATTATGTTCCCAGTGACCTATCAATAGAGACAACCTTATATCCGTTGCGTAACTTTGTCAGTCACCCACTCAGATTTCTGCTGAATTGCACTTTGTTCTGTATGGTCATGTCAATAGCAAAAATATTGATTATCTGGTACAACACCTCCGAGGAAAGTTTTCAGAGACTGTAATATCCAATAAAGTGCAGTACATAAGATGAATATGGGACATTAGGTGGCGGTGCTGAGAAAGCGTTGGGCATCATTCGGACGACGTAGACTAGAGCAGTGTTTTTCAACCGGTGTGCCGCGGCACACCGGTGTGCCGTAGAATGTTGTCAGGGGTGCCGTGGGAAATTCTCCAATTTGTGTGTATATGAGGTGTTGTGCCCGGTAGAATAATCATGTAGTACTGTTCCATATCAAAAGGTGGCGATTTGCAAGCATGGATGCAGCGGCAGGTAATTGTGACGTCATACAGATGTCACGTGATACGAGCCCGCATTCGACCGACTCAGACTCAAGGTCGTTCCCGCTCTTCCTGGCTGCGATTTGCATTTGTGATGGAGAAATTTTTGAAAAGAAAAAATGCGGACATTGTACTGGACCCTGGACAAAATCCGGGCCCTAGTATGAGTGGAGGTGAAAAGAAAGCAAGGACAAGACAATACAACGAAAACTATCTTTTATTTGGATTTACTTGTACCGGAGATGCAACGGCACCGACTCCATTGTGCTTGGCATGTGGTGAAACGCTCTCCAACGGTGCTATAGTTCCAAGCAAGCTCAAACGACATCTTGAAACTAAACACCCTTTACTTCAAAACAAAAATGTGGATTATTTTGTCCGCCTGCGTAATCAGACAAAGAAACAGGCCACTTTCATGAGAAAAACCGCAAAGGTAAACGCGAAAGCCCTTAAAGCTAGCTATCACGTAGCTGAACTTGTGGCTAAATCAAAAAGTCCCACACTGTGGCAGAGCAATTAATACTTCTTGAGCAGAAGATATCATTTTATTTCTCTCACAGAGTACCTTGACTGGGTTAGGGATCCATTCAGCTCAGCATCAGCTTTTGGAATGGACATGACTTTGCAGGAGCAGGAGGAACTAACTGAACTGAAACAAGATCGTTGTCTCAAGCTGAGCTTTGCTGATCTACCTTTCGACAGTTTCTGGTTGGCAGCTGCCAAGGAGTTCCCCATGCTGGCCCACAAAGCTATTTTGACATTGCTCTCATTTTCCACAACATATCTGTGTGAGGTGAGGTTTTCAAGCCTGACTGCTATAAAAACTAAAAACAAAGAAAGACTTAGAGCTGTTAATGAAGAGCTTCGTGTGTGCCTTTCATCGATTCCTGCCAGGATATCTGCTCTGTCTTCATTCAAACAGCCCCAGGTTTCACACTGAGTGAGAATAATAAATATGAACGATTGTGAAATACTTTTTATCCTTGTTTTTATTTGTTTAATTTTGGAAATGTCCAATTCGACATCTTTCTTCAATGTTTAAAAAAACTCATATGAACAATATAGCATATTGTGAATATTAGGTCTTTTTTCCACATTTTCAGATGTTGGTGTGCCGCGGGATTTTCTCAATCGAAAAAGGGTGCCGTGGCTCGAAAAAGGTTGAAAAACACTGAGTCCATTAGTGGTTTCAGCAAGGCGGGGCGACGCCCCAAATACCATATCACGCCTTTGACGGAGATAGCGATTTCAAAAAAGGATGATCAACAGGTATCGTGACGTACCTGTCGATTGGGCACCTCACCTCATTCATTAGATTTGAACACCTCATATTTTTATCTGTAGAAGCATTCGAAGGACAACGTGTATCATAACATTCCTCGAACAATCGGTGAACTCAAATTGGCAATTGTAGTAACAAATTCCCATACTGGAGTACGTGATTGACAATTTTGAGCAACGGATGCAAGGTTGCCTCTAATGTCATAGGAGGTGATTTGGAACATACGTTTATTTCTATTCCAACATATTCTGAAGAGAACATAACTTTTGTGCAAGCAGCTTAGCTTCCTGAAACTTTCCAAGTAAAATCATGCACAAACATAGGTTGAAGCGTAAACAATATTTAATGAATTTTCTTCATTTTCGGATAATACCCAAGAAACGGAATAACAGTAATTGGAGATGACCCATAATGTACACAACAATCTCATTTTTGGTATGATGAACGCGGGGGTCACGAGTGTTGAAAGCCTCCGGAGGGGAGCAATGCCATAAAAGGTTCGGAACAAATGAAACAACACAACGATTCACAGTTGGCAACACTCAGCAGCAGTTATATCACCCAAAACGATGGCGTAATTCAATGTTCGGACAAACCTCTAATAAACAAGCCACTGCGCTACCTTGCCGTGTTTCAGTTAGCAAAAATATAAAAGTCCCAAACTTCTTAAGATAATTTATTGCACAGACTGTTTGGCCTGAAAACCTTCAATTTCGTATCCCACCCACTTCTGCAAATGACAAGGAAACAAATGGTGTCATTTTCAATTTTTATTTTTCGCTGATATAGTTCAGAAGACCATTTTGTGTGGATATTGGCCAGTTTGCAAAGAAAATTTGCTTGCCAAATAACCAGAAAGATATTCCGTTCTTTTCAGAATTGGAAGAATCTGAGAATCAACAGCCTTTTGGTCTTCCTTGCGTTCATCAGACACTTTATATGTCTGCAAAAATAATACAAATAAGTTATACCAGAGCAAGTTAAGACTACACCAGCAAGATTTTCACTCCCAACTCCAAGCTACATTTACAAACAATATGAAAGGCACATCTTAGGATTGAAAATGTGAACCATGTTTGCAAATCATTTGAATTTGAAAAATACAAATCGCGTTGACCATGAATATAATATTAGGCTAAATAAGATTGGAAAGAACAAAAAGAGGACAAGATGCAGGTTATGCAGTTGTAACTAATCTCAGTAACGATGTTTTCGAACTTCAGTAAATTTAAGTATTATAATAACAATTCAGGATTTGCCGAGTTTATGTGCAGAGTGTTTGTGCCTCAGTTGTTGTTGAACTATTATCATGCACCTATATCAGGTGAAATCAACCAAAGCTGAAACAATTAGCATCATCGACACTTTTTCTGAAAACTTTTGGGGAATTCATCATGTCAGAATCTTCAATCTTTTTGCTAATGATTGAAATTTTAATTTAAAATATAATAACAAACCTCTTCAGTTGTGTCAAAGATCTCGCCATCGCCTTGCTTTTGCTTCTTCTTGGCAAGTCGTTTGAAATATTTGTCATTCACTCTTTCTGGCAATTTCACACCAGAAACATCAACTGTCGTTTTAGTTGCAATGACAAACTTTTGATGAAGTCGTCTCAATGGAAAACCATTAATCTTGTGAGGACCTGAACAAATATATTCAAGGTCAATTTGTTTTGAAGTTCAACATTAGCGAATTCCATACCAATATACTTGTAACTTTGCTATGAAAGACTGAACTAGTATAACTTCTGGTCAGCAAATGAGAATACGTCAGCTAGTATCAGACGGCACTTCCAGTTGTCATCATCCCAGAAGTTTTTGTATCATACGATCGATAAGATTGAGATAATTTTTTAGAGTTATTCGGATTGGCAAAATCAAAAATTGATTGATCAAATGATGTCAAAAAATTGACCATTGTGATATTTCAAAATAATTCTATCATTTTTCCAAATGCAAAAAAATATCAAATAATTACTAAATTATACTTTCATTAGCAGCGTATGTATATATTCATTCATACCGCACATTTTAAAAGATTCACTATTCCTTATAGGCAATAGACATTTACTTCAAAAAGTCACATTAAGTAAAAAATCCCAAGAATTGGATGTGAATTTCCATGTTCTACGAATAAAAAAATGTGATTCTAACTATTGAGAACTGAATATAAAAAGTATGAACAAAAAGTAGAAACCATGGACATTTAGTCAAAGTCAATAAATACTTTATCAATACTTCAAATTCAGAATAAACAATTAACAATGAAAACAATCAATGCAAATGAATAACTAACCAGTGCAAAGAAGCATTCCAGAATCGAGCTGTTTGAGAAAGATGACATGTTTCCCCTTATGCTTGCCAGATACTGGAATCAACACAGTTCCTGGTGTGATCGACTCTCTCAATCTTCTTTTGTGCTCACTGAATGGTTTTTTACCATGAGACTTCAGCTTGCGGGGTCTGTCTTCAGTGGGGTAATATCTGGGCTGTTGGGATAGAAAAATTTTAACTATGAATTTGTAACTTTACATGGATTCAAAGAAATACAAGGATTATAAAATGTGGTGTGTACTGGAACAAAAATTCTTACACTTCCAAAGATATCGAATATAAAGAGTTTATTCGTTTGATCAGAATGGGTTTGTGGCGTCATAATTGACTTCAGACGGCACTTCCAGTTGTCATCACGTCAAACTTCTAACAGTACAGCAGTAAACTTGACCTATTTTTCCCTTTCCAAAAGCCAAGTACACCTAGCAGATTCAATTATAGACAACATGCTCGCAAGATAATAGTTTTATGCGATGTAAATTTAAGAGTAAATATTGCACTGAGTGTGCAATAGTTCAAAAATAGAATTTCCTTTCATTAAACTAGTTTTAATCAAAATTCACAAAGCAGTTCAGCATTTGTAGGCCAGGCCTGCACAACGTACAAATGCAATAATAATGTTTGGGTCCAGCATTTTTCAACAAAAACATAATGACCGGAAAAAAGATTTAAAACAAATAAAACTAACAATTTCTGAATTTAGTGAATACTTGAGCAAAAGATGCAACATAACTCTTCGAAGGGTGGTTGTGTCAAATTGATCATGTGTTACACTGTTTACATGCTATATTACAAAAAATATAACAAAGATAACTTGTGGTCCTAGAAAAATTGTTTATGTATGTACCGTATGTTGCGGCCCTTACATTTTGGGTCTGCATATTTGAGTCATGCAGGCCTGATTTCAGAGGATTGCGAAGAGTCCAGCAATCCTCTCACACATAATTATCGGCCATGGAATTCGAACCCACACAGGGACATCATAGATGCGGTGGCAAGCGTACCGTAAAAGCGCCTAACTTCGGACAAAATTACTATATTCTCGTCAATAACTAGGCCATTTATTGTCCAAACGGTGCCAAAATCGCTCGGTAAAACATTCTTGCGGTAATTTACATTCCCTGCAAATTTCGGTTCAATTGGACTATTTTTACTATTGAAATAATCGATATTTCTTGCCATCTGACCGTTATCCTTCACTGCCCTAACTTCGGACAGTCATTTTCTTCACTGCGTAACCGCGACGCACAGAGAGAAAGAGGCTTCCGATGCGGATGACGTAATCACGTCGTTGCGGGAAGATAAGACGCTCGATCGTCGTCGTAACGTAACATTGACGTCACGACGAAAATGCATTATTTGAAACTTCCGTCGTCCTATGTTTGCATCTTTCGTTCGTTATTTTCGATACTTCAGATGAGTATAATAACACGTTAGTCATTTTCATCAGGAAATGCTTACGTAAATATATCTGATGCAAACCGTTTCAATCCACAATGAAGTATTTTAACGGGCTTCTATCGAAGTCTTTGAAGTATTAATATTCTCGACGGATAGCTTTTTTTTTATTCTGCGCGGTTATCTTTATAAATGATAATTTATATTAAACACACGGTAAATCCGATTGTAAAGTTTAATTTAAAATTCAACTTAATCTTGTAAACATGTAGGTCCCGTTTATTTGTTGGAGATTAAAATTTATTTTTAATTTCGAGTGAATAAAATTCACCCAGGCCGTATTCAATAACTGTCATTTCGACTACTAATCCTAAAATAATGGTTAAGTCAGTGCACTGTGGACGTTGGAATTATCATAGTTTTATATATTCGATTTTTAACGTCATCGATTAAGTGTGACATGTATTTTCATTAATGTAATTTTCGCATATATTCTTACATGACCGAACAAAATACAAAAATATTACATTGGAACGCCGTCTTTATCTCAACGGAAATTGTCATATTGGCTCCGTTGTGTCTGGCGTCAAAATTCAGTTCCGCGACGCAGTGTGACGTCGTGTCGGAAGTGAGCGAAAAATAATCTATGTGAGGTTGACGTAATTTTTAACGCTGCGTGAAATCTTGATATTCTTACGGAATTTATAATTCAGAATTTTAGGTTTTATTTAAATCTCGTACGACATCTTGCGATCACTCAAATAAATTATATACATTGTTGTCGCCCTCTACCGAATGATGGTATTTTGACGATTAAAGCTTCAGTAGGAGCGACGCTCTGCGCCGTTGAATGCCGGGCAGTCAATTTTCGGCAAAATTTCCGTTTTTTTACCAGAAAAATAATTATGCAACATTAAAAAAGATGAGAATAGATGTAGATATAAGAGCGCAACCTATAATAATTAAAATTAGCAATATACGGCGCGTTTTAGCCAAGATATGGCCGTTCAAAAATTTTGTCCGAAGTTAGGAACTGTCCGAAGTTAGGCGCTTTTACGGTATTCCCAACACTTACAGTCTTGGCTCGATCAGCCACACGGCGTGCCAAGTTCAATCTTGGCAAATCTGACCACAGGATAAAATAACCAAAACATTACTCACCAATTTTTTCACTCTGACTTTACGAGTGCCACCATTTTTCTCTCCACCGATTGGTTTGACAACTGTAACAAACTCTCGTTTCTTCTCGATCTTGGTAACAACCCTTTTCTTTTTGTACAGGGCACGTTTGGCGAACATGCGAGATTTGGAATAACGATTGAGTCCGCCTTTCAGCGTCTCATTCCGCGTTTCACCCTTTTTCGGCATCTCGGCGAAGCTGAAAAATTGTAATTATATAAGCTCTGTAGGATAGACGTGAATAGGGCAACATTTCGAGAACGGTACAATATTACAATAAAAACGTTAAGTTTTCTGCTTGTACTAAGTCACCGATGTACAAAGCTATATTAACAATAATTCAAGCACTGAAACCTAAGAATTAACAAACCGTGGCAAACGATTCCATGAGATATAGAACGACAAAACCTAAAACGGAACGAACCTCTCGCGGCAGAGCTAGGAAAGACATAAACGTCGCGTTTCGGTTCAATTAACATTCTCTCAACACGTGGGGCGCTACAGATGCTTTCGCACGGTCTATTTCCGTTGTAATTTGTGAGAGAGAGCGGGAAAGATAAATTTATTATTTTGCGGATTAAAATTACAGACATTGATAAAATAAAAAGCAAGAACAATAAATATTTTTTGGTATGAACAGAGGGGAGCGACACGACCAACAAAATCATCATCTCCAACCATATTCACAGATGTGATTAAGATTCACACAGAATGATGACTAATGTGAAAAGTTGAGCCAGTAATATTATATATTTACAAATTTTTAAGAACAAAATTGGGAATTCTCAAGTAACTTCATTGATATACAGGTGTGTCGGGGCTTTAGTTAATCACAATATAACGTAAACCGGCTAGAATTATGTGGTGTCATCGAACATGAGACATAATTACATAAAACTCAGTTGCACAACTAGTTTATATCGGCTTTGAACGATAACGAACAATACTATTTAAAATAAAAAAAATAGATATACTTACAGTGGATCGGGGGGGTTAGAATAATTTGGTGATAAAGTGTCACCAACACGAGAAATAAGCTAATGCAACTTAGGGATTGTGGGTTTTACTCGTAGCCTTACTTAGGTTTTCCAATAAAGTCAAGATCGTTGTGTCAATGTCTGAAAATTACATGAAATACAGTACTTTATATTATTTTTTGCAATTTTAACAAACATCAATTGTGCCTTCTAGTAGTTTTGATATTCATAAATTCAAGCGGACAGGATATGCAATAGTTTTCGACTTAAACAGAGAGGTTAATTACAGTAATGTGAAAATTTGAGTTCTTTGCATCTAAGGAACCTGTATTCAATACGAAGCAAAAAATATTCACCAGAAAACTGTTTGAACTACGATGTGTTATTAATGTATGACTGATGCTACCATTTGACACAGAAAGTTCCCACTGATAGTTCAGAACAGTAGCGAAATAATTTACAACAATAGCAATAGGCTATATATGATTTATTCATTTTTCAAATAACAAAGATATGGAAAAAATGCTATGGCAATTACGTGTAACTTCATTGTAACTTACTACGAACAGAAGAGGTGAAGATCATTGGTGTGCCACAGATACCAAAAGCTGTTCAATTCTATTCCGCAAAATATCAACTATAATCTAGATGACCAATTAGAATTTCATTAGTCGCTCAGACACATTTTCTCTCTGACAGATTTCCAGGCATGGTTGCTGACATTAGCACACTTTTGTCGTTTTTTTCCAAATTATCAGATTTGGGTTGTATTTTCGAAATTTTCTCAATAGTGCTTTTTGTCTTACGGCCAGTCGAGTGAAAAATAATCAATCGGTAATTTTAAAACGCAGGTGGCTGAGTAAAAATGTGTGAAAGAATTGCTAGACTCTTTGTCGCCTTAGGTTGGTTTACAAAACCACTGGTCGATTACGGCTTCCTTCCCCATGAAGTTCACGCATCTGAAACAAATAACTGGCCAACTAATTCCAAACTCGACATGGACTGTTGACCGGACGAGAAGAATTGGATCAGTGCTTTGGTTTGGCATATGATTAAGCAGTCTTATAGTCTTTCTATACTCCAGAATCAATATGTAAATACTCTTGTCCAAAGAAAAAAATGAACTTGTTCTTCAGTCTAGCATCTAGTAGATGTTTCCCCAACCCTTGACCCCAGAAATATGCTCCCCAAGGATGTTTTAGGCCGTGAGACGAGTCTCTGAAAAACGCCTAGAAAATGAGTTTTGTAGCGCACATCTGGGAACTATATAAATTCTTTAGTTTTATATGAAAATGAACATACTGAACGCATGACAGCTAGTTCCCACTAACGAAAGTTACACATTTTCTATAAAATCCTGAGGCAAAAACGGCTATAATATATATAATATATATAAATTCCCGAAAATCAATAACCATAGGTTTACAAGGACACAGCATGAAAAGTCGCATTCTTTTTAAAGAATTCATTAATTTTTATGTGACGAAGTCGCAAATTAACATCGTGAGCACATGAACACAAGTAAACCGATTAAAATCCCGATGCAAAAATTGAACATGAGGGGATTCTCCGGAAATTTAATAACCATAGGTTTACAACAACACAGCATAAAAACTATGCAGAGTCCTGCTGCACATTAACACAAATCTGTTTCAGTAACGTTTCGTCTGACCAAAATTGGACTTCCTCAGACAAGCAGTTCACAACAAAGAACAGCACAAAAAGTTGCATTCATTTTATAAAAACTATCAAACGCATTTATTTTTATGCAATGAAGTCACAAATTAACATCGATTATTTCTCACTGAGAAATTTGCAGGAAAAAATCAAGAAAAGTAAATGAATACAGTATGAAGGCTACATAACATAGTGAACAGAAATATTACAATCAGTCAGTTTATCAGGTTGTGTATTTGAAACAAATGCAATATTATTTGCGGAAACAGGACATTCAACACTAACAGGTGTCTGAGAAAAAACTAAAAAATAATATTTAATAAATTAGCTTCAATATCTAATTCACTTTCCTTTGACTTGCTTCCGAAATCCTCATTCTTGAAAATCGACCTTTTCTCTACAAGTAGGCTTACCATACGTCCCGCTTTAGGCTGGACAGTCCCGCTTTTTAGCGTATTGTCCCGCCGTCCCGACAAGTCAGCCAAAAGTCCCGCTTTGACATTTAGCCATCCAGCATATTACACGAACATGTTCTCGTTACTGTTGTTGCTGTGTAGTGCAACGCTAGCTTACTTACTGAAGGTGAATGCGTTATTTTGTTTGTTTCGTTCTCGCTAACATTGTTAACAAAAGTATCACATGTAAAATCATTTCCAATTGGTACTGTTCGGACATTCACGTGAATGTAACGTTGAATAACGTCTTTTTGAAGATGTTATCCACGGAAAAGCATGCTTGGGCGAATAAGTAAATTCTCAATGCTTGAAAACGGCAGACTATTTCATTGTTCTTTATTCCTTTTGCTGCACATAAAAAATCTAAATTCGGATCATTTGTATCGTTAGCGTCTATTTCTTTATATTTTTCGAACCGAACCCGATATTCAGACAGAGAATATGTGCATGAACTCTCGATGACAATATGGTCAATGAACACAGCCGGGATGGCTTAAATATAGGCCTATGTAGTAAAATCGGAAACTGTAAAGTTACAGGAGGCGTCCCACTTTGAAGTGAAAAAAATATGGTAACCCTACCAATGAAGACAGTCGGGATGGCTTTAAATGTGGGCCTATGTAGTAAAAACGGAAAATGTAAAGTTACAGGATCACAGCTAAGGGGTCGTGTCTTTGGAGGTGTCCCGCTTTGGAGTAAAAAAAATACGGTAACCCTATCTACAAGTGCAAGTGCAACTACAAGTTTTTGTAGTTCTGTGCAATTTGTTTTGTTGGTTGTGCAGGTTGTTTTTGGCACTTGCATAAATTATTTTGAAACCTATTTTTCTTACACTTGCAGTTTGCCAACTCAAAAACTGATTTGGGGGTTGGAAGTAGATCCATTAATTTAGCCCGTAAAACACCATCATCAAGAACCCACCCATGGCCAATAGTGGGAAAATAATTAGCTTTGGTTCTAGGCAACAGTGATGAATTCCTGCATGGTAATTTGCACTCAGAACATGCTTCTTTAGTGAACTATTGTTGGGTGGAAGAGAATATTTCATATATTTTTCAGTTTTGATAACACGTACCCTGTGTCATTTACATTCTTCATATCCGCTCCATACCATGAACAAACAAATTCCTCATCTTTATTTATTAATGCCTTGTTAACCTCAAAAGATCTTCATAGTTGAGAAAACACTCAATGAATTCCGAGTCTTCCGACATCAGTTTGATGGGCAGAAGAATGCCAAAGTATTTCAATATGACAACATGAGTGTTTTTCGACAAATAAAAATACCAGTAAATACTTATAAATAATGCAGTTTATCTGATGTACTACAGTCCTGCAGTGTTTCTACACTGAATCTCGATAAATCACACAGTCTGAAACAGTGATTTCCCTACACCCCCCCCTATAGGGGGTGAACACCCCCCCTAAAATTTCAAACACCCCCCCTAATTTTGAGGTGCAATTCCACACTGAGGGGTTCTAAACCGCAGTCTGCGGGCCAATTACGGCCCGCGTGACGATTTAAAATGGCCCGCCGAACTTGAGTGAAATAGTTTAACCCTTCATGTGGTACCTTTTGAGTTTTAGATACCGTCTATTGTTACATCATTATCACAGTTTAAGCACGTTTATTCCGTAACAATTGAATTATTCCGGTATCTTATGTATACGTATGGGTATTAGGATTACACACTGCAGTATTTTAGATATCAGCCGTATATTAAGAAAGCTTAAAGATGTCACAAAACGAAAACTAGGCACTGAAAACAGACTTTTTTAGATGAATGACAGCGTTGTTTATTTCTTTATTGAAAAGAATCAAACTTCAGCGATTTGTCTTCTTACCAACAAAATATTTCAGTTCTGAAGGAATACAACATTATGATCAGTTGACGAGCTTATTCCAAAATTTAATTCATACAAAAGTCAAACGAACATGTTCAAAAAAATTAGAAATGTGTAACAAAACAAGCCATAAGTAGCCATTCATACAATGCCAGATGAGCAAGTAACTTCATTAGTCACTATCAGTTGCAACTTGCAAATTACTTGTTGAAAAATAGTAGTATATATTTACGGTTGAAAGCCGTGCTTGTTATCTATTCCCCGGGAATTCTATCAGCTAAATATTATATTTATTGATTTCATTACATAACAAACTGCGATGTTAGGTGTATCTAAAATCAAGCTTAGAGCCTATTTTGGTGCCTATTTCTCAAAATTTTCTCAGGGCGCTTGAGCGCGCCCTGAACCCCAGCCGTGTCGTCCCGCACTTTTCCTCGCTCCCTTTTTCTGGCCCTACAATTACATTCTGCTGTGGATTTTGGCTCGCGTCAATCAACTTGGGGGGCCCCCATGTAGCCTACATCGTTTCTT